CAATGTGCCATTCTTCACAGGAAGAGGAAGAGGCCGTTGGTCATCATCCGTGATACCATAGCCCACAGCCATAAATCTGGTCTTGTCCAGATTGACGGTCAGATCAAATGCAGACAAGACATCGATAAACATACTCAGAGCAAGAGCAGTAGCAGCACGGGCAGTGGCAAACAGTGTAGAATCGTCAGCAAACTGGCAATCGTTGATGGTGGTATGACTGTCATTACCCTTTCTCTTGAAATAAAGCGAGCCCCCAGGATTTTATGCCAACAGGGTGCCGATACCAGGCACATGCTCGACCACTCTGGACCATCACTGCAATGGGTTGAATGGGTGTTGATCCGATGGAGAGAGTAGCCGCCATGGAGGTATGAAAAGACTTGATGACATCTATGATGTTGTTAGGGACACCTGCCTTCGCGAGAATCAACTACATGCATTCACGGTTTACTGAGTCATACACACACACACACACACACACACACACACACACACACACACACACACACACACACACACACACACACATACAGAAATGGCTGCTGTTCGGTCAGTGAAATTCACAGAAAGATGTGTGGCACTTGAGATCACCCGGATGACTTTTTAACATCTTGAGACACTAAGAGCGAGCACGTGGAATACACTCAAGTGGCTAGTCATGTGACTTCTCTTGGCATGCAGACCACCATGCCCGATGATTGATTCTCAGTCTGCTATTGCTCAGATGGTGTAAGTACTAAGTACAGCTTAGTATACCACAGGATGACCTTGCCGTCGCTTGTGAGGGTTGTGACACATATGCTTTGACCCATCGGGGAGTGGGATCGGTTGTGGAGGATGGGGTCCAGTAACATAACAAATATCTTAGTTCCGTTTGCAATGCGAGCTTACACCGTTGCGCATCAGGCTTACCATCTTCTGAGATGACGTTACGAAGATGCGGAAATCGGTCAACATCAATAGATGCATTGTCAGTGACGCAAACCAGACTGTCATCAATAGCATGACCAACAGCTAAATCCTTTGTTTTGCTGGTGTGCTTTTTGTTCCGCTGTTTCCTTCTTCAGGCCATCACCGTGTGCTTTGTTGGCTGTCGTAGTTTTGCTGATGCATTGAAAACATATGCATCTGCTAAGGCATCCCTTGGGGAGATACTTTCTGGTAAGGTTTGGTGTTGCATGTGTGCATGTGTGCATGATGGTGGGTGGGTGGGTAGGTAGGGAGATAGAGCAACATGTTCTCTACACTGTGCTGGAGGAAAATTCAACTGTGAACACATTCAAGGCTTGGCATCATGAACTGTCAAATAGATTATGTTATCGTGTTCTTGATTGTACAAGTCTATAATGGCTGTCTTTGGAAAGCCCAGCTGTGGCCTACTGATGCTCATCCTTGCCATGTCTAGCAGAGGGCACACAACCAGGCACAGTGTATAAATGAACTCTGTCTGGCCCTCTGCTTTGCTGCAGCATGTGAGTTCATGGACAACGACTCAATGTCACTTGTCAAGAAGAATCTGGGCTTAGTGAACCCGCTGGGAGAGAGCTACCCGTTCTATGTTCTGCTCGAGACTTCCGGCTCTGATGGGAGTCATGATGAGGACGTGAGTGGTTGCTCTGCGTACAAGTGATGATTTCGGAATGTCATGCTTTTGTTCGTCATATGATGCTTGGTGTTGTTCTGCGTTAGTCTTATTTATTCATTCAACATCTTGTTGCTCTTCGCAAGACTGCCAATAATCATGAAACGCCCTCCGGTAGCCAGCCACAGCAAACTAAATACTATAGCCTAGGAGAGGAGGGAGGGAGGGAGGGGGGAGGGAGAGAGGGAGGGAGAGAGGGAGGGAGGGAGGGAGGGAGAGAGAGAGAGAGAGAGAGAGAGAGAGAGAGAGAGAGAGAGAGAGAGAGAGAGAGAGAGAGAGAGCTGCAAGTGGAAGCAATGTTGGAATGATGAAGAAACCTTACCCACGTCCTGCCAAGCTGAGTCGGTGACATTTGAGTTGATGATGAAACTGGAGTCTCTTGTGAACAATGCGTCTATTCTACACACTATCTCTTATCTGCCTCCATGTGCTGTGTTGTTTGCATCTGTGTCCACAATGTTAGAAAGTGACCAAGTTTGTGGAAGCAGGAAGCAGCTTTGAGAATGGCACTCTGACCTCAGAACCAAGCAAGGTATGTGGCCATGTGTGTATGTGTGTACGAGAGGTGTGAAGCTGAACTTGGAGTAGCATACGATTGCCTCTCACTCAATACCCAGGCTTGATAATTAGCTCGCTGCAACATCGGCGGTAGTTTTGAACAAATTTCATGGTCCTCATGGGGCGTCTGCAGGTGAACCAAACTGGAGATAAAGCATGACAATTGCCATGTGAAATTGCAATTGCACCTCAGCTGTCTTCAGTGACAGCAGAGACAGATAACGATATCTGTGTGTGTATGTACACGTGTGTGCACGCCTGTATACGTGTGTACGTGTGTGCACATGCTCGGGTGCTCATGCTTGTGCTTGTAGATAAAGAACATCTGGAGTTTACGTGAAAACATCGCGGTGGCATTGCTTCGTGACGGTGTACAGCACAAGGTTAGTTGCTGGCCTCTCTCTCTCTCTCTTTCTCTCTCTCTCTCTCTCTCTCTCTCTTTCTCTCTCTCTCTCTCTCTCTTTCTCTCTCTCTCTCTCTCTCTCTCTCTCTCACACACACACACACACACACGCACGCACGTACTTGTACTTGTTCACTGCGATGACTTAGAATCGACATGTCACAACTTTCAACACGATATACCGCAGCAAAAGATTAAAAAAAGGAATCTCGAATGTTCCTTCTGTGTAGCTGCAACAATTACCGACGGTGAAAATTTTGAAAGTGTGTAGAACTGAGCTGCTTGTGCAGCCCGAATAATGAACCTAGTATATTTTCAATCTTTTCATGTTCTGTGTGTGCATCTTGTGTGCGTTCATGCACGCATGAATGAACGCGTGCTTGTGTGGTGTGTGCCCGCAGAGACCCTTTTGCAGAGTTGAGCACACTTGTATGTGTGTGTGTGTGTGTACATGTGCACGTGTGCATGGTGTGTGCATGGTGTGTGCATGGTGTGTGCATGGTGTGTGCATGGTGTGTGCATGGTGTGTGCATGGTGTGTGCATGGTGTGTGCATGGTGTGTGCATGGTGTGTGCATGGTGTGTGCATGGTGTGTGCATGGTGTGTGCATGGTGTGTGCATGGTGTGTGCATGGTGTGTGCATGGTGTGTGCATGTGTGGTGTGTGGTGTGTGCATGGTGTGTGCATGGTGTGTGCATGGTGTGTGCATGGTGTGTGCATGGTGTGTGCATGGTGTGTGCATGTGTGGTGTGTGTACAGTTTGACATCAGTGTACCCGTGGAATGTATGTATGATCTAGTGGAGATCATGCGTAAGAGAGTGCACGGCCTGGGTGCTGTGTCATGTGTTGGATATGGTCATCTTGGTGACGGTAAGAACTTGTCCTGCTGCTATCTTGTGTGACTTATGTTCCAAGCTGAAATCTACTCACGCTTGATTGAGGCAGTTGATTCTACTGGAACCTAGATGAACGATGCAACCGATACTACCCCACTCCAGTCTCTCAATGCTCGAAATGCTTTCTTTGGATGTGAAGAGATAATTGCTGCTGCTTTCATAGCTAATCTCTGCCAACTGCCATACCCAAGACAGTTGTCATGCTAGTAGTTTTTTGTATGTTTTCAATTGGGTACATGTGGTACATACATCAGGACCTTCTTGCGGTAAAAAAGTTATGTTTACACATGTGTGATATCATTGTGCTCTGTGATACTTGTATTGCCTATTCTGAGGCTCTGGACAGTAGACCCAGTTCTAATGTGTCTAATTGCTAAAGGACCAGCTCGGTGTTGTTGTCTGAAGATTTGCTTTATGTTGGAACTCTGAGCAGCTAATGACACAGTCTTGTTCCACATTCTGTGTCGTCATGTACTGTATGTTCCCCAATTCAGGTAATCTTCATTTGAACATCACAAGCCGTGAGCGCATCGAAGAACTCGACAATGCCATTGTGCCGTTTGTCTATGAGTGGACTGGTAAGTTTCCATGTGTAAGCTACAGAGGCTAGCTGTAGGTACTGTTTCTGTTGTATGCTGGTTCTTGCCATTCAAGAGATACTAGCATACTGCAAACACAGTTTCATTTGGTGGTATGGTCATGAAAAATGGGTGAATTGAGAAGACGGGTAACTGACCCTTCATGGGTCTTCTGTATATGAATGCGCGTGCGATTGTTGTTGGCAGCATTGGCATTGGTGTTGTCATTGTCGTTGTTGCCATTGTTTTATCCAGCTCTGTCATGATCACCACTCTTGTGCTTGTTTGACACCAATGACATTGTCTTGTTGTGACCACAGCACAACGCAAAGGCAGTATTAGCGCCGAGCATGGCCTGGGTGTTCAGAAATCACAGTATATCCACTTCTCCAAGACACCACCGGCTATTGCCCTGATGCGCTCTATCAAATCAACACTAGATCCAAAGGCAAGTGATTTCACACTCGTAGATTGGTAGTGTGTGTGTGTGCGTGCGTGCGTGCGTGCGTGCGTGTGTGCGTGTGTGTGTGTGTGTGTTTGTTCGTTCGTTCGTGCACACGTGTGCATGTGTTTGTGGAGGGGTACTGTACTGGCCTAAGATAAACATGGTACAATTGTGTGGCGGCGATGCCCAGTGTGACACTACTGTTTTTTTAATAGTTATCTTTTTATTATTATGATCACAGCTCACAGGCAATGACAAACATGCCTACTAGTAATGTGAGCACAGTGACGGTGAGGTTTGTTGCACTCAACTGACCGGGGGTGAGGTTTGTTGCACTCAACTGATCGGGGTGAGGTTTGTTGCATTCAACTGACCGGGGGTGAGGTTTGTTGCACTCAACGTGTGCATGCGTGTGCGTGTGCATTTTGCCTTCTTCAACGGTTCTTTTATTCAATGGCTGGTAGCCCTCATTCATTATATTGGTTGACACCATGTCATCCATGAATTGAGAATAATAATAATAATAATAATAATAATAATTCAGAGGATCAGTCGGGGAAGTGAACTGCCTGAAAAGAGAAAAAAACAGTTCACTTCCCCGACTGATCCTTTGAATTTGAAGTTCTCCCAATCCTTTCCAAATAATAATAATAATAACTGACCGGGGGGTGAGGTTTGTTGCACTCAACTGACCCGGGGTCTCGGTATCATGGGAACAGGAAACGCTCCAAGAAAAGAGAAGTTCCAAGTACAGCAACTACTGTAAAAGCCATTATGCTAACGAGCCACAAATATAACGATTTCCTAAAAAATTGACCGGTTTACGTGTACCAAAGACAACCATTCTCACTCACTCTCAACGCTCACTAGCAACATAGGTATCAATTTCTGTGTAACGTTTTCTATTTTAAAGGGGAAGGTCAGCCTAAAATCGAATTTTCATCATTGTTTTCTTCAGGGTGCTGAGTCGAATGTTCTTGGTCTGAGGAAGCTGAGACGCTCCCTTCCTACTTGAATCCCAATCGAACTCGCGCACTTCCACCGAAACTGGGTGACTGCGCCCTACTAGATGGGGATTTGTATGCAACATGTCACTAAAAGCGCCATTTTGTTCTTATAAAAGCACAGATGACCGCGATTGGCCCATATGTTGTAGTCTTTTGGACACTGAGTCGACTTGGTTTGGTCAGAGAAGGCTGCGATGCAGCGTTCGGCCTGTATTCCCAATCGAACATGGTTGAATAAGCGGTCACGTGATCATGCGTACCCCAGTCACCTACCTGGTCACCGTGCCTGCAGGGTACAACTTACAGCCTGTTTAGGCGCGTTCCTGTCACTCGAGTTGAACCTTGGTGTGAAAGTTCAAAAGTGAGTTGTAGCCTGCAAGCTGCCTACGGTTGGTATGGTGTGAGGTCGTATGTTTTTTCTTAGCGACTGGGTTTTCTCCTTCCCGGCACTGCCATCAATGTCTTGGACTGTGTCCCAGATCAGAAGCATTGGGTAAACAGTGTAGACAGAGGTTGAGCCAGTTCGACAGAACAGGTTTTCAACACACATGTCAGTATCCCATCCAGCCGGTTGCCTTTGATGGGCTGAGCTGACGGAGGGTGCATTCAACAATAGTTGAAACTGGTGTCCACAATAGCCTGGTCAGTCCAAGGCCTGACATACGGAAATGGGGCTGACAGGTCATTTTGGCTGAGACTGCATTTGCACTCAGCTTTGGCCGCACTGTGTCCATCACCATCCGTCACCGAGTGACATCTGCCTGCAAGGCGTTTTCTGTCTTAGACTTGCCATGAAAGCTTTCGTAAGCAGTTTTTGAGGCTGGCAACAGTTGAGAACCATGCATCTTGATATTATCCTGACTGCCGATCGTCATCAGACGGGTCGTCTCTCAGGCACCTCCATGCACGGCGTTTCCTCACTGTGGTAGCAATCCGCATGCTGATATCTTCATACTGTTCTTGGCATGGGAGGCCCGCGTGATGCACAGATTTGGAAGTCAGCAAGTAGACAGGCGTGGTCAAATTTACCGAGAGGTGGAAAGACCGTAACTAAGGATTCTCCGGGTAGAGCAGACATGAGCAAGTCCAGTGTGTTGCGGACACGCATTGGTTGGTCAACTACTTCATTGAAGTAGCTGTTCAAGACCATGCATGTAGCACATGTCCTCCGCATGTTCCCCGGCCCGAGTCGTTCTTCTGCCTGAAAACACTCTTGGTTATATACTGTAAGACATGTTATTATAACGAGTCGCAAATTTAACGATTGTCCAAAATTCATAGGTTAACGAGAAGATATTATGTTAACGATCTTGCAGTATTCTGCCATATCCACACACAGCATATATGAAGCAGTACGGCCTCAATGAATCTTATTGTAACGAAGAAATGTCATCCGTTAAAACGTTAGATTTGCTTCCTCGTTATATATACATGTCTTACAGTACTTTAAAATCACCAGGTATTAGAGAGGTTCCGCACAACGTAATACATTTAGTAAAAAATGTAGTCGATCTACAGAAAGTCTTACGTACACTGCATGCGGGTCTGTGCTCCACCATACGTAGTTTTCGAATCATGAAGCTGCCCTTGGCAACTTGGAATGGGGCAGTATACGACTGGGTCGAAAGTCATAAATTTGTACCCCGCTCCACTAAAGGGGTCGTCGGAAAAGTTTTTTTGTCGTCCCTGAAACGAACATCATTTGTTGGGGGGGGGGGGGGGGGGAGGGGTGCGAGCCAAAATCACAAGTCGACCGACACTGTACATGTACATGTACATGTACATGCATGTGATTTTCATCGTCCAGCATAGCAAGCTGTGTTCGTCTCAGAGAGAGGGGAGAGGTCCGAGTACGAAATGAACAATGTTCGTTTCAAGGATGACAAAAAACTGTTGCGATGACCCCTCACGGAGCACCTCCGTTATCAGAGCCCTACCTACGTACTCTATGTAGGCAACTGTCCGTGTGTGGAGTGCAAACTCGTGAATTCACGGGTTTTCCCGCCCACTTACGTAAAGTTGCCCAACTTTACGTAGTGCGGAACCTCTCTACTATCACAGTAGAATTGCGGCAGGCTGTGATGGCGAAGCCCGCACAGATTGCACCAAAGATGCTGGCATCTGTGCCGTAGCATGTTCTAGGACAATAAGCAGCACATATACATAATAGTCACAGGCCCACGATTTGACAGCTTGCTGCAACACCACAACCATGGCGGTTCCAGTCGCGAACCACCATGGTCGTGGGGTTGCAGTAAGCTGTCAACTTATGCGACGACCCCTATTGCTGTGCGGTGTGCTGTGCTCTGGTCTTCTGCATACAGGGCATTCTTAACCCCTACAAAGTATTACCTATCGAATGAATAGCAACAGACCAGCAACAGCGATGTGCTCTACTAGCACTGCCCGAGTACCAAGTACCCGAGTGCTATATACTAGCAGGTGAGAGTGCCATGCTGAGTGGCTGAAAAGTTGTGAAAACCCTTGACATGTTATTCAGATACACACTTGCACTTGGTGTTGTGCGTACATCATGCAGCTTAAAACTGAGTAGCAGCTGCCCTGGATCTGACATACAGTTTTTACATTGCTGTACTTGGGTTGCCTTTCCATTCACTGGAGCTCTTCAGTCCATGCTGTCTTGGATACGGGCTGAAGCACATGCTGGTAACAGTGTGTCCGTATCATGATTATTTTATTACTCAACTTGTAAACGGTGTGCATCATCTATCCACAAGGTCCTCCACAACACACCACGACATAGAGAAATCAGGATGGTAGACAATGAAATCCTCTTCCCCCGTTGTTTATTTTGAAATTTGTAATTGAATATGATTTGAAAACTCCTTTCTAGAGCAAGTAAATGAATTCAAACTCGTGGCTTCATTATTTTTTAGATCGCTTTTTAGATCGCTTTTTATTAGATTAGGTGTCTGGGTCATTTGCTCTTTTATGAACTTTTGTTATTACGTTATGCTAGATATACTATATAGGTACACTGAACAATAGAAACATATCTAGAGGTATGTTTGTAGTGTATTGGCCTTTGGCTTGAATACTAGGTGATTAAAAAACAATCTTTTCTTAGAATCGGCTAACTCCAACTCAGCCATTTACACATGACACAGGCCGAGTCGGCAATCATACCAAGCTGATAGGCTGTGAAGCCTCACACATGCTGAAGCGATTGAAGAGCATGAGATGTTTTTAATCTGCCGATTGTTACTCTCTGTACAGTCATAATTATACGTGAGATGGGAGCCAAGGAGGATAACATTGAATAATGTTGTGGAAACGTCACCGTCTTCAAAGGAGGTCTTCTTAGTTATTCCGCTGAAGAAGACTAAACAAGTAACAATGTCCCTCGCTATTGGGCCAGAATAGATCCTCCCCCCCCCCCCCCCCCTTACCCCTCATATACCCCTCAGCTAAGCTCTGGCATCTAGTTGGAAAGATTATTTTATCGTTTGAATATTTCCTCCGTCTCGGCATACTTGAAGTACATTGTACGGTGGAACTTCAGTACATGACTTGTGTAACCAGACAGGGTTTACGTGACTTCTTGGCATAAACAGAGAGGGTTTACGTGACTTCTTGGCATAAACAGAGAGGGTTTACGTGACTTCTTGGTATAAACAGAGAGGGTTTACGTGACTTCTTGGCATAAACAGAGAGGGTTTATGTGACTTCTTGGTATAAACAGAGAGGGTTTGCATGACTTCTTGGCATAAACAGAGAGGGTTTACGTGACTTCTTGGTATAAACAGAGAGGGTTTGCATGACTTCTTGGCATAAACAGAGAGGGTTTATGTGACTTCTTGGTATAAACAGAGAGGGTTTGCATGACTTCTTGGCATAAACAGAGAGGGTTTGCATGACTTCTTGGCATAAACAGAGAGGGTTTACATGACTTCTTGGCATAAACAGAAATGGTTTACAGAACTCTCCTGTACAACGTACCTCCGAGGACCACAGACAGTACAGTATACAATAGCCACCGTGAAACGACTGGTTATCTATTGTACTCGTATAGGGTCCTTCAAATAGTCACAGTAGTACTTTTTAGCCCATACGGCCATAGTGTTTCGGGGACACTGTGTATTGAGCAGGGTGTTGTGCTTTTTAGCTTATTAGCGGAGTGGAAGGTTTAACATTCTCCTTGCGTACTCCAGACGGCAGGCGTGAGTCAATCAAATGTCAAGAAATTTGGCAAGAAGTGTGAGCTCCATGTATGAGCAACCTCATCACTCTTATATCTAGGGTACTAGTACATTGCTGTTGCAGTTTCTCTCTCTACTGGTGATGTATGTCAGCACTGCTGAATGCACTCATGCCCAGTGACCGGGACTCACACCATCATGTGCATGATGCAGCATGCCGCCGCACAGTGCAGAGGGATCATACATGCTGCCCAATCTGATACACGCTGCGCACTGCAGCCTGCGGTAGTGTCAGTTTATTTATGTAACTAACTTTTTACTTGCTTGTTACAGAGGCAGTAGGCTTAGGTTCTGCGAAAGTGCTCAATACCTGATTCAGGCAGAGCGGTGTACACAAAGGCACACAATGAAAACCTTGGGCAAATTCCATTGTGACTCAGATGGAGAGAGAGAGAGGGGGGGGGGGAGGGGGGATGATACATTTAACAGAGTGCAAAGGCGGAGCCAGGGTGCACGCGGAGAGGGTGTTCTGGGAGGGTTCAGAGGGCGTCTGTGGCTGAGTGCCAGTCTCGACTGCGGAGAGACTTGTAGGTGCCTTCCTTGAATGCCTGCATTCGCTTCTGTCATGTGCAAGAGCGGCAGCTTCAGGCCTTGATGTAAGGCGGAGGGCCCTTACATTTCTTGCTTACAGTGTGTAAGGAACAGAGCTCCTGACTGCGACCAGAGACCAGTGAGTTGCGCCATATTAGTCGGTACGCGGTGTGCCCATATGAACCGCTAGAACTGTGCCCCTGCCCTGTTTTAGAGACCTTCTTCAGGGGATGGCCTGGATGGTCAGGGGAGCGGGTGTTAGAACTTACGCCGGTAGAACTCCTGAAATCGTTTGTCTGCAAACCTGCAGTCACCGTGGTCACGTAATGACTATAAACAGGTATTTATTATGTACTACGTCTAGCAGGAGTAGAAAATTAATACTGATATTTTACTACTCCAACGACGCGTCACGTCCGATCAGGCACTCTATAGTCTATACTCTGGCTGGAGTCTGGGACTGTCCTCAGTGTCTGAAGTGGAGCGGCAAAATGGCCTAGCCGGCTATATAGCGATTTACATACGATTTATAAACTATTTTTTTGCTATAAATGCACACAGGAAAGTCGACTTTTAGCTATCAAGCTTGGGTGGAGACATTAATTTTCTTCTCCGAGCATTGTTGCTTTAGCTATCTCTCTTGGAAATGAAGGAGTGTTGCAGATGGAGCTCTCAATTTTCCGATGGCGAGGGCTTGCAGGGCCTAGGAGTCCTGGAGGCTCTGCTTGGGAAACAAGACGATTCGCTGCGTGACAGACTGACGACATTGCGTCGCGCACCATGTGAGACTAGCGATGGCACAGGTGTTGAAAGCGACACAGAGGACGCAGACAAGGCGGTGTCGTGTGCATTCTGCAAGGGTTCGCCTCGTTTGCTGACCACGCCATTGCACGTGGCTGCTGAACACCGAGCGTCGAAAGAGGCGATCTCAGCGCTATTGTCAGATGTAGGCGACTGCGATAGGTTTCTGTCGACTCATCGATACTTTGATCAACGAACGCCTCTATCAGTTGCCGTTAGCAGTGGCTCCGTAGAAGCTGCCTTATTCCTGATCGATGCTACTGTTAGCAATTCAACACTATCTGATGAAGTCTCCACTAGTCCTCTATTGCATTTTGCAGCTGAGCATGGAATGAGTGATGTAGTGGATAAGTTGTGTTCACTTGCCGAAGCCTGCGATCTGGATGTGTGCATCGATCGGACTGCCCGAGTCTGCGGGGGCAGCCTAACACCACTGGAGTGTGCGTTGCGCAGTGGTCACGCCGCCACGGCCAAGTGCATCCTTACTCATGGCGCTGACTCGCGCATTGGCCGCCCGTTGCTCTGGGCGATACGCAGTGGTGGAGAGTGCTGCAGTGCTGATGTCATAGACGCTATCCTGGACAGTGGCTGTGATATCAACATGCTGCTGGATGATGAGTCAAATCAGACAACGCCACTGCTGTGTGCTGCCGGTCTTGCCTACTCTACAGTTGTAGAGATGTTATTGGAACGCGGCGGCAGTGTTGTTGATAAGAGCATAGGTGGACGCAGTGCTCTGTCACTCTATCTGTGTGCTGTACGCTATCGGCCAGCTGAGATGAGCAACATGGAACGTGTTCTCAGCGTGATGCGCTTGCTAGCCGAGCAGGATGAGTGCTTGTTGTCTCAGGATGAAGTTGGCCGCACTGCCTTTGCACACGCCTTCATCCAGTACCGGCGGTCACCACATCTGACCGACGTCCTTTCTGCCCTGCTGTCAAACGGTGATAAAGCAAAGGCAGCACTCAACCTCGCTGATCATGATGGCATCGCACCACTACATCTAGCTCTTGCTCTCAACTCCAGTGCACTGGCACCAGATCTTGCCCCTAAAGTCACCAGGATGCTCCTGGATGCTGGAGCAGATCCGAATGCGTTTGATGGCTCCCCTGGCCGCCCACCTTTGCTAGTAGCACTTTGCAACGAGAGGCATGCGAACATCGATTCTGCGATACAGCTGCAGCTGGCAGACATTCTCTTGCAGCACGGTGCTGATCCGGATGAAGGCGACACCATCCGCACTCCACTGATAGCTGCTCTTTTGGAGAATGATGATGCTGAGGTTGCTCTTCGTGCAATGCTCTTGCTAATGAAGCATGGTGCCAATGTTAATGCGGATAATCGTCATGGGGAGACTGCACTGCACCGCTGTATGAAGATGTTCTGCTCCAAGAATGAATGGACTTTGGTGGAGGAGCTGTTGAAATATGGTGCAGACCCGAACCAGCGCGACAACAGTGGCTACAATGCACTGCATATTGCAGCACAGTGCATGTCGGCCAAGGGCATTCATTTACTTCTACGTCATGGCGCTGACATCAATGCTGTTACACAGCAAGGAGATACGGCGTTACATCTGCTTGGTCGACAGCCAGGACTGGACGTTCACCAGGACCTGCCCGCAGCGTTTGCCTTGCTCATTCTCGCTGGCTGCTCGACAAAAGAACTGAACGGATTGGGAATAGCTCCTCTGGACCACTTGACACGCACGTGGATTCGATGTGCTGAGCTTGCTGATCGCTTGCTGAACAAGCCCCTCATGCTGCGAGACATCGTGCGCGCAAACATCCGCCTTCTGCTGCACCCGGCTGCGTTGGAGAATGTGCACTCAGTGCTCGGTGATTACCTGCCCGAATCGGCATGCGAGATGCTTCAGGGTGACTGGCTGCCGGAGAGGGAAGTCGGTGGTCTTGTGAGTGACGATGATGAAGACGAGGAAGACGGTACTGACGATGCTGGTGTGGCTGCCACTGCTCCTCCGGTTGTGATCAGTGAATCCATTGATGATGATGACGACTTCATGGTGGAGGGTATCGATGAGGATGACGACGACGATGACGACGACAATGCCATCCAATTCCAGCGGTCGGACGAACTGGAATAGGTTGTGTATTCATTGCTAACATACCTGGAAGGTGTGCCTTTCCCAGTATCATGCATACATGCACTGCAATTCGTGCAACATGCACTCACTAGTGATTAAGACAAAGCACTTCCGAAGCATTTAGATACATGTACTTCTACGCACTAATGAAGTCCCAATTGACCATATCACACTTGACTTTTGATGCTACCCATGAAACATGAGTCACATAACCCTCCATAGTTATCTGCTATGTCACACTGGCCGCTTTTGCTGGGAATAAAAGTTTATTTTCTCCACTGTACACATTCTGCACTGGTTGCATGTCATCAGATATTTTCACTGCTCTCTGCTTGCACTATAGGTATTGTAAAGGTATACAGTGTGTCTAGTTGCAGCAAACAAAGCATGTATGATTATTGTTTAGAGATACTGACTTAGTTGATCAAGATAATGGAGATGTTTCTAGATTATATCCTGTTAATGCCTAGCTAGTATTTTATTTTCTATCTTCTATTGCAACTATGTGTGCGTCTTATTAATGTAAATGTCCTCTATTGTAACTATGTGTAGATCTTATTAATGTAAATGATAACGTGTTTTGTTACGGTAGTCACCGGCACTGCTGTGGATGATGCATGTTCAGCCTATTCGACTGTGGGAAGCTCTTTCCTGGATTTCAACGCCTTGCACTTGCATGCTTTGGATGGTTTGTCAAGATGTCAGTTGTTGTTGTTTTCAGCATTTTCTCTACACATTCTGTTCTTGTGGCCGTGGGTAGTTCAAGCACTTGCCAATGCACAATCGTGTGAGTACATGGGCATCAGCTGGTTATTATGTGCTGGTCTGGACTGCGTTGGGCCTAGGCCGATGTCTGCTCGTCAGCTGGCCAATGATCTGGTCCCAAATCTCACTGCGTTCATACACAGGACACTGCATGCAGAGCTACCCGCCGTCTAGTACTAGACTAAGACCACCACCGGCTAAACAGGCTCAACAGGCAAATGCAGAGTCTACCCTGTGCAGGTACAGGGCCGTGATACTGTACCACTCTCAGTGGTATCCATGGCCAGGAGTGGCAAGGAAATAGGGATATCATCTATTCCTGATTCCAACTTGCCTGCAGAAGTATGGTCTGAAACAGGGAAAACCTCTACTGTTCTGAATGTGCGTAACCGTATGATCTGGTATGTATGCTTTTAAGAAGTTATGCATGTTGCAGTAGGTGTCACTGCTAAGAACATACCACTGTGTGGCCACTGCTACAGTACAGGTAACATGAGGTAAGGCTACGCTTATGTGCTGTCATCTACACAGCATGCTAGACTAGCTAATCATGGCAGTACACAATGTCATGCATTTCTATCACATTCACAAGCCATAAACTTGGCAAAGAATTGCTACTTACTTGCAAAAGTGCTGGATACCACGAGGGCAGAGCCAAATTAAGCAAGCCAGCAATGGAACAAGTATATCTTTTTGCTGTTACTTTGAGTTTCACGGTTATTCAGCCAATATAGACAACAACCATCGCAGTCTCGGCGTAACCGAGCAAAAATATAGCCTTGTTCCATTGCAAACCTATGTGACTTGTGTCGTATGTAATTGTTACGTGTATTGCCGGCAACACTCAACAATGGAATACGAACCAGAGAGTACATAGTAGACAACATATCAGACCAACAGGGCTCATACTGAGGAAATAAATTTTGTTCAAATGAGTGTCATAATATCTGTACAGTGAGTTTTCAACCTAGAATAATTTTTAGTTTACAATAATTTACAGCGTGTCAGTGATTCCAGCCATTCAAAGATAAGAATAATGTTGACTCAACTGGCATACTATTCGTCCGTATGCAGGCTGTATAGAGATGCGGTTCTTGCCTGCATCATCCTTGTGTACTTTGAAGTAAGGCAGGCTTTCTCTCAGCTACTCTATGCAATTATGTACACAGAGTGTATACACAAGATGAAGATGCTGGTGCATGCACATGTGCTTCAAAGTGCATCACTTTGGTAGTCTGCCTCCGCCTCCACTGGGCTTTGTGGGTTTCGACTGCGGTGGAGGGTAAGTCTTTGACTTGTCAACGCGGCCAGGGTTTGCAGCAGCTTTGCGAGCCTTGGCAGCTCCCCCAGAAACTGTTGCTCCCAAGGCGGCCGATGCTTCGCTTTCCACACGGCTACAATGGACGCAAAGAAATGGCATACGATAATATAGAAATCACAACAAGTGCTTAGCCTAAGAAACCATGCGGCGTGTTTTAAATCACCATGAACAGGACTGCCATTTCCGAACAATTCAACTACACCACTGTGGTCAAATATGAGACAGAGACAGAGAGAGAGTGAGACAGAGAGAGAGAGAGAGAGAGAGAGAGAGAGAGAGAGAGTGAGTGAGAGAGTGAGTGAGTGAGTGAGCGAGCGAGTGAGTGAGAGGGGGGGGGGGGTAACATACAGCGTAATTGCACATTGCTGTAAGAAACACACTCTGCTGTTCTGCACAAATTGTACCAGCTACTACAGTAGTGCCGAACAGGTGCAACGACATGCAACGCGTCTGATAGCATTATGCGAGTACAGATAGGCTGGTTCAGATAAATGTAATCACAGGGAGAAGCTCTCATAACTCACTGGTGTGACAGCGCCACTGCAGCTTTATCTGCCTCCTCCAGACCAATCTTCTTGATGGATTTGGAAAGCTATGTTTTTGCATTCACAATATTCAACACCACAGACACACAGATGCACAGATGCACACGTACACACACACGCACACATGCGCACACACGGATGGAAATTATACCGGCAGAAAAAAGATCACAACAGCTTGATACTACTACTTCTTATCTGGCTTGTCAATCACTGCCACAGATCACTGCCACAGATCACACAGAAACATTTCAATGTACCATTGTCAGGGGCGTACCCAAGAGGGTCAGCAAGGTGGCTCTTCTTACACACCCCTATTATGCATAGCACATGTACAATGTACCCTAAGACGAGACTGCTCACAACCGCTAGTGCTCTATCAGTATGCACCTTACCACGACAAAAATCACCCTTGCAGTACTGCATTTGATGACTTCGTCCTTGCAAGCCGTGTAACTAAATGTTGTTACGAATGCAATGACTGTCATGTAGATACTGTAAGCTGTGTGAGATGGTTGTGAGATGGTTGTGAGATGGTTGTGAGATGGTTGTGAGATGGTTGTGAGATGGTTGTGAGATGGTTGTGAGATGGTTGGGAGATGGTTGTGAGATGGTTGTGAGATGGTTGTGAGATGGTTGGGAGATGGTTGTGAGATGGTTGTGAGATGGTTGTGAGATGGTTGTGAGATGGTTGTGAGATGGTTGGGAGATGGTTGTGAGATGGTTGTGAGATGGTTGTGAGATGGTTGGGAGATGGTTGTGAGATGGTTGTGAGATGGTTGTGAGATGGTTGTGAGATGGTTGTGAGATGGTTGTGAGATGGTTGTGAGATGGTTGTGAGATGGTTGTGAGATGGTTGTGAGATGGCTGGGAGATGGTTGTGAGATGGTTGTGAGATGGTTGGGAGATGGTTGGGAGATGGTTGGGAGATGGTTGTGAGATGGTTGTGAGATGGTTGTGAGATGGTTGTGAGATGGTTGGGAGATGGTTGTGAGATGGTTGTGAGATGGTTGTGAGATGGTTGTGAGATGGTTGTGAGATGGTTGTGAGATGGTTGTGAGATGGTTGTGAGATGGTTGTGTCCCAGTATAAACAATCTCAGGTGAGTTAAATGTGTAATGCCATTGGAAGTCACGCACAGACTTTGAAGCCGAATCAAATCAAATGGATCGTTTGAAGATTAGGAGGACAATGAGGAGTCCCAAATCTATGTGGACGTATTCATAATAATTATATGTACAGTCGTGCACGGCTAAAGACATCCGACACATGAGCCGAAAGCGGCACCAAGGCTCACGTGGCCCCTACGCCCTCAGGTGGGTTTTGGACAGTTCACCTTGTATAAAGTGGTATGGAAACGCGGCGCTACGTTTGACTCGCTGGTCAGATCTCTTTGGCCACGGCTGTAGTTTGAACTTGAAATGTACGTCAACCGGCCCACAGCAAGGTGCTTTTTGTGCTTTTGGCGTGACTTGGATATGCCACTGAACATATACGTGTAGAGGAGACGAACATGTCGCCAATAATATACAGAATGCTTGAGTCTCAGTGAAACCAGTACATTCCTCAAATTGTCTGCTTACCTCTGCTACTTGCAGGATCATCTTCTGTTTTTCTTCATTTGCTGTATGAAAGGCCTGCAGTGGGCAAGGAGAACATTTTCAATGACCACTGCTCCTATAATTGTACTATACTAACTCGTGCTGAAGGATAATCGTCGAAGTAATTTGTGTATATCCCCAAGATCTGTGTCATGAAACCCGATACGAAGGGGAGGGGGGCTTAGACCCCGGTGGGCTAACACTTGGAAATACGGTGACTGCTAGCTAACTGGACCGAGATGTGACAGCAAACACACTTCAAAGTATCAAAATAAGTTGCAGTCAACATTGAGATGGAGCCCAGACTGCTGCCATGGTATTAATTATGTTACCTGGATCCAAAGTGGCACGTATCACGCGTGTCGATACAGATACTGCCTCGTCTACATGTGTCAAGATATCACCGGTTTGTGCACGTCATGATGCAGTCCGACACTCATTGCATGCCTCAGAACATATCTAGCATCAAGAGTTCTGGCAAGGTATGTTTGGGCCTGGTTTAAATCTTGCTTTGGAAATTTTATTTTTCATTGCTATCAGGTTCGGCCTCATTCTCTCTGTGCTGCGCTGATGAGTCCACAAAGGACGAAACAGTTCTGTCTGAAGATTGAGTAGCATCAAGAGTATATGTATAAGTTGCCAGAAGTGTGTGTGTGTGTGTGTGTGTGTGTGTTAACTGCTTCTGGCTAGATTAACTCTTGTGTAATCAATGGTGCTAGTGAAGCTTATATCAGATCCACTCTGATTTAGCCACCCACACTAGTAGCAAGTATTACCTTCACTGGGGGCGGGGGTAACTGCAGTTGGATCCCAGGACGGATACCCTGATGCCGTCAATCCTTTTTCTGCACCTTGTCCTCACCCACTTACTGAGGTGTGGTTAGCCCATAAGTGGGATCATTTTCAAGTCCACCCAGAGTTTTGGGGATTTCAGAGGGCGTCGGCCGTTGGGCGGTTCAATAGCCAATTGAGTCATCTTTCCAAGATTCCTTTTGAGTCTCTCTCCCCTCTCCCAGGAAGACCCACGTGACCAGTTTTGGCAGTGAGCAACAAGTACAAGTACAAGTGTGTGTGTGTGCGCGTGTGTGTGTGCAACTCAAACTGGACTAGCACTTGTTGTTTGCAGATAATGCAGTGCAGTGTAAGCATGAGTGCAAGGTAAGAACGTACCACACTGTGACTAGCACTTGGTCCAGCTTGTGCATCAACTGACCATCACCGTACATGATACTGGCAATGTGTTTGGAGTGCTTCTTCACCGCATGGTATAAGATTCATCACAGGGAGTTGCACACTCTTGGAAGCTTATGTACACTTGCAAACATGCACAAGAGTGTAAGTGAGGATTGCTGACCTTGGATTCATTGTCCAATCTCCACTCATAGTCCTTGACACGGCGCTGCAAATCAGTCTTCTCCTTTTCACCCTGCCGACTTCGCTTGCGCACATCCGCCTAACACCACACAGCACGCGTGTGCACACACAAGACATTGCAGTGACTTTCTTTTGATGTTGCTGCACGATAGAGTCTCGTTTAGGCATAACACACACACAGCAGACAGCACCCGGAAACTTGAGTACTGTAATGTATGGCCACAGGGTCTGTCTTAACTTACCACACAGCAAGTCAGCGAACATCCGCATCAACATGTCATTTGTGGAGGTATTAAATATGTCATGAGCTATAGTGTCTAGCATTTTCCATGAAAGAACCTGCTAGAATTACACTTCTCTTGGAGGTAAGGTTGGCAATACACCTCAGTTTGCCCATAGCCGAGAGGACTAGCTACATGAGATGCAAACAAATAATAGATCCTATCTGAAATGAATCGAAATGATAAATACAATGCGGAAGAATATTCAGAAATTAATAATATGTATTCGAGAAACTGACACCAATTATGGCAGACCGTGTGTGTGTGTGTGTGTGTGTGTGTGTGTGTGTGCACGCATGCACGCGTGTGCTGATGGGATGCGCCCTGCCGGATTACACTTACATCAGTTAGCTCCGGGTACAAATCCGGTTTGATGCAAGTAGCTTTGCAAACACAAAACAATGGATAAATCAGACCCAACGCAACATCACCATTGTATACCAGGAAATGCATGCGTCGGTGAGACTCCTTACTCCTCTTTGTAGTCACGACATTTCACAATGCACCTTAATACAGTAATAGTATAGGAGACAGGGTGGGACTTTATAGTAATGGTTGTTGAACATGGGATTAGATTGGTAGTTCACCAGCACTAAGGGGATTAGATTGGTAGTTCACCAGCACTAAGCAAATACTGGATGATCTAGTAGTAATACTGGTACTGGATGATCTAGTAGTAATACTGGTACTGGATGATCTAGTAGTAATACTGGTACTGGATGATCTAGTAGTAATCGGCCGCCGGCATAGACTAATCTAAGTAGCAAAGGTTACAGAGGTACCATCGCGGTGTACCATGCCTTTGCCTTACAATTCACCAGTTTGTGTGTGGCGTGCATAGTGTGTGTGTGGCGCGTGTATGTATGTGTGTGTGCGTGTGTGTGTGTGCGTGCGCGTGCGCGCGCATGTACAGCTGTGCTTGATATGCATATTGCATACGCTGGCAATCGTGGTTACAGTACTCGACTACAGACTTGTGTCGTATGACGAGTAAAACGGAAATAGACAACTCAATAGCTTCTATCTGCTTCGTTTAGCTTATGTCTTATGTGCTGTATGATCCCATGATGAAATGCACAGCCGTGACTTCACTCTCAAATATACAACTTGCTATGATCAAGACATGCACCTTCTTTTATCTTCTTGTCCGAAGCAGCTATTTGATCCTCCAGGCGTGCGATCTCCTCTTCCAGTGAATCATTGTGTTTGACTTGAGCATCAAAGCGAATCTTCCACTCACCACCTGTGCAATCACAGCCAGTGCAATCACAGCCAGTACATCAGTACATACAACCAGCATTATATGTATTGCCCAGATGCAATTGAATCCAGCACCAAATATGCAGCAGTGTCAGCAGCAACAAACGCCGCAACAGAAGAAGCAGCGGCAGCAGCGGCGGCGGTAGCAGCAGTGGAAGTACTAGCAGGAAGCATCAATGTTCTCTGTACTGCCACGGGCACAGCTGTGGTCCAAGTTCAAACTTCCCCAGGCCAACATAACACCTCACCTGACCCCAATTTAAAACTGAACAAGAACAGTTAATCGTGGCTTGGATCAATGAAAGTTCAAGTCGAGTTCCGCTACTAGTATTTACATACCTGGACGAATATTTGCTTCCAGCATCTCTATTTGGCGCCGTATTGTCTCTTCAAGATCTTGTATTGACCGGTCGAGGGGAATCCTGCATACATATACACACAGATTATACACAGATTATACAGGATAATGATAGCCGGTAACTACAAGGCCCTGGAGTGCTTGTTTTGAGGCCGGATTACAACTAGCAGTCAGAGTGTCGGCCCGTATGATTTTTCCACGATTAGGAATAAGTAAAGCGTACATGGCCATCCCGTTTTCCTTTTTATTTTTATTCGAGAAGCGCAATAAGCAGAACTACAGTCCATTCCGGCATAAAAAAAAGATGAAATCCTAGCTTTTGGCCATAAATGGGTCAAGTTTGAGTTTTTTAAATTTGTTTTGGCAATCCCCCATGGAATACTCTTCCAATTATGTTTCTGAAATCTATTTCTCCAAAAAACAAGTTGAGGTACCTTTTTGGACTCTTTTTCAAGTTTCAAATCTTGCAGCACTGCACCGTGCACGACAAGATCACGAAAAATCACCGAATATGGAAGCTAGCCAGATCCAGTGCTCACCTTTTTCTGAATGGACTGTAGCTCAGAATCGACATACATAACATGTATCATGAAGGCTTTAATACAAGTTGAAACCGGTGATGTACAAGGAATGAAAGATGATGGAAAAACTTCAAAACATATACTAGCATATTAATTTCACGGCTCGCGTGAGACTCCGTCAGACTGAGTTTCCGCGTCCGCAGTACCACAAACATCCTGAGATTCCTCAATGATCAAGGTGCAGATCAGGAGATCTGACCCACCACAAAGTCCACAGGCGAGCTACAACAAAAGAACAGTTGTGTTCTTTATCCCAAATCTCCACTATTGAGTAAACATTTACAACTGGGACTTATGGGTGTGTTGTCATCTCATGCTCATAAGTTAGAAATGCAAAAGTTCTGGATGTAGTGTAGTGCTCACGGTCGGGCTGGTATCCGTGCATCCCAGAATGACTCAATATTACGGCACTCAGTCTGTTCAAGGTGTGTACATGTGTGTGTGTGTGTGTGTGTGTGTGTGTGTGTGTGTGTGTGTGTGTATGTGTGTACATGTGTGTGTGTGTGTGTGTGTGTGTGTGTGTACGGGGACCGCTGTTGTTGATGTTGAGTATGCGGACGATGCAAACTTTGTAGTTGGTTCGCGGGAGCATGCTGTGTTGGCCTTGACGGCGTTCCAGGATGTTTCTGCTGAATTTGGCCTCACTGTGAGTATACCCAAGACCAAGTTTATGGTGGCTGGTGTTGGTGTTACTTCAGTTGACACTGCTTCCGCTTCATGGACAGGTGGTGGAAAATGTTTCCTCCTTCGTTTATCTGGGTTCTGTCATCACTCCGGATGCGCGTTCCGCAGGAGACGTTTCGAGGCGTTTGTCACTCGCCTCGCGTGCCTTTGGATCGCTCCAGGATGTGTTTGCTAATCGTGATCTTTCACTCCATGTGAAGCGCCGATTGTATAACGCCTGTGTGATGACAGTGCTACTGTATGCTTCGGAGTGCTGGTGCCCTTTGCAGGGTGACCTCCGGCGCCTCGATAGTTTCCACCACCAATGCATCCGTAGCATCTTGTGTGTTTCGCGAACACAACAGTGGGAGGAACGCATCACCAATGAGCAGCTCCGAGAGATGTGGGGTGATCCATCGCTATTGTCCTCCCGGCTTCGGAAGCGGAGGCTTGAATGGCTTGGCCATGTGGCCCGCATGTCGGATGTTCGTGTGCCCAAGCAGCTGTTGTTTGGCTTCCTACCGTCGCCTCGGCCTGCGTGTGGTCCCCGTCGTCGCTGGAGGGATGTGATTTCGGCTGACCTTCGGCACATCGGCATTGAACATCTAGCTTGGTATGGGATTGCTCAGGATCGATCTGCCTGGCGGGTGTCTGCCGTTGGGCCGAGCCTCGACGGTCCTTCCCATGACCATGACCAATCTCAACGGGTGGACTGTCTTATCTGCCACCGTTCGTTTCGTCGGCCAGGTGACAAAGCAAGACACAAGTGTAGCGCAGAACGAAGTCTCCCCATCCAGGAACAGCGTGGTGCTGTGCAGTGTGGTACATGCAGGAGGTGGTTTCACTCTCGTGGTGGCTTGCGTGTACATCATTGTTTGCCCCTGGAACCATCGGAAGCGTCCGCGCCGGCATCACCTATTCCGCTCAACGTCCCAGCTTCTCTCTTGTGTGTGACATGCAATCGGCAGTTCAAGTCAGTGCCTGGTTTCAGACGTCACAAGTGCGACCGTGGCCATCGAGCAACCAAGTCTGATAGAGCGTCGTATGGTGTTCGCTGTTCTCGCTGCAACCGTCAGTTCCGTCGACAGAGTGACCTGAGTCGTCATCTCCGTTTCTGCTCCTGACAATGACTCTGGCTCCTTTCGGAGTGGTGTGGCCCTTGTGGCAACCAAGCTACAGTAGTAGTAGTAGTAGTAGTAGTAGTAGTGTGTGTGTGTGTGTGTGTGGGTGTTTGTGTGTATGTGTGTGTGTGTATATGTGTGTGTGTGTGTGTGTGTGTGTGTGTGTGTGTGTGTGTGTGTGTGTGTGTGTGTGTGTGTGTGTGTGTGTGTGTGTGTGTGTGAATTCTTCAGTCTTGCAAGCCGTTGAATGGCGCAATCCCAGCACAAGCTGCTATCATCACCTCCGGCGATGGGCGTCAAAAGGTCCAAAAGGTGTGTGTGCACTTGCACATTTGTCTGCTTCTCTTGCGACAGGCATACATGGTACTTGGTGTGTGTGTGTGTGTGTGTGTGTGTGTGTGTGTGTGTGTGTGTGTGTGTGTGTGTGTGTGTGTGTGTGTGTGTGTGTGTGTGGTCACCTTGTTCGCTTTCGTTGCTATAAGAGAACTTGAAATCTGTGGGTGCATATCCAGTGCATTTGCAGATTTGCGTGCTTCTCTTGTGACGGGTGTATACATGGTACATGGTGTGTGTGTGTGTGTGTGTGTGTGTGTGTGTGTGTGTGTGTGTGTGTGTGTGTGTCAATGTTCTTCCTGCGAGCGCTGGTTCCGCAGTGCCGGAGGTTTGGCGGTCCACAAGTGCCCCAACTCCCGGATGCTCCCCGCGACATCGTCTCGGGCTCTGTGCCGGGGGGCGGTGTCTACCATTGCTGCTCAGGCGACTCCTCCGCCGCCGCGTGTGCGGCTCGCCCTCTCATGCTGCAATGCCCACTGTGGGGCCTGTCGTCGGTGCTGCCGCTCTACTCGTGGATTCCAAATCCATAGCTGCCAAAGATGGCTGTCTCGTCGTGCCGATTGAACATGGTCCCTGATCTCTTGGCGGACTGGCGACTTTCTGCCGTCGCTCGTCGTTTCCATGTTGTCGGCCCCACAAGGGAACACGTGACCGTAATGGCAGTGTTTACCAGGACCAGGACCAGGTGTGTGGTGTATGTGTGTGTGTGTGTGTGTGTGTGTGTGTGTGTGTGTGTGTGTGTGTGTGTGTGTGTGTGTGTGTGTGTGTGTGTGTGTGTGTGTGTGAGTGTGTGTGGTGTGTGTGTGTGTGCGTGTGTGTGTGGTGTGCGTGTGTGTGTGTGTGCATATGTGTGTGCGTGCATCATACAGGCCATGTTTGTAGGACATGCATGTACATTGCACACTTACAGTTACACACCAAGAAATAATTTCAACTATTATAAATTATCTTCACTAGTAAATTACTTACCTTTTGGCCTCTTCATCCCGAATCTGCTCTTTCTGAATTTCCAACTCCGATCTCAGCATCGTGTATTCAATGTCATAAGGAATAGGACCTTGTACTTGTGGTTCTCGTCGGTTGAATGGTGTAGCTGCTTGAGGTACTCTCAGACCCTGACTAGTACTAACCCAGTTGCTGGCTGGCAACGCTACCACTCCATCAGTGACGTTCACGTTGTTTCTTGCGTGATCCCCTGCACCTGGCGGACTGTTTGCTCTGTCTGGTTCTGATGACGATAACACCGGCACTTGTGGTTCACCCGTCCGCAGCGTCAAGCCTTGCAACGGCGGAATGCGTGCGAAAATCTTGTCCAGTCGCTCACAAGCCAGGCGATAATGAACGCTGCTTGTGCTGGTCGCTTCATCTCCATGATCACCGTAGCTACGGTCTCCGGTTCGATGAGTGGTGTTATGATGACTCCGAGTCTGACTGGACATCATGGAGTCCGGGATTCGTGCACGCACAGGTCTCAACGGGAACGATGAGTGCGATTCTTCGACAACGTTGACACTTTGCCGACTTGCACTTGGCGCACGACGTGACGTTGCACTCCGTCTGCTGCTTGAGCTTATTGCGGGAAGAACGAGAGGTACTGACGATGATGCCGAAGCAACAGATCTGGTCGCTCGTTCATACTGGTCTGCCGTCTCGGGTCGGGCCGACGACGAGCGAAGATCAAAAGAACTATAGTATGTGTGACTTGACGGAGGGCGCGACCAACCAGGACCAGTACATCTGTATGCCGTTTGCCGCTGCTTCGGCGTGCCTACCACCACCAGCGGCCTGCTTCTGCTGCTGTGGTAGTGCTGGAACTCTGACCAAAAGTTTCTGCTGCCCTCTACCCTTTCCGATGACAGGGCACTACTAGTTCTGCGTGTGTCACAGGAGGGCCGTGGTTCACAACTTCTGCTGGAGTCGCTCATCTTGCTTGTGTTTCCGTGGCGCAACACTGCCAACAGCTCTCCACACAGACTCCGTAGTCCACTTCGTCTCTTACTGTTACACCTGCAGGATGAGGAAGCGATGGACGCGGCACACGGAAGTGTACAACGCACCTCACGAAGAAGGAGGGCAGCAGCCATGCCGTTCGTCACCGACCAAGTAAGTATTAGTTCCTTTTTTTGTGAAAATACGTCTGCAACACTACTTACTAATACTATCTCTGTACTGTCTTAGCTAACCACTCCTCTACAGGGCTAATACTGTCTGTAGCACTGTCTGTACTGAGCACAGTGCACACTGATAGAGCGGAGAACGAAGGTTCTGAACTAACGACGAGTTACTCCTGTCTACAAAGTTCTGGGAGCCTCTGTACTGTACTCTGCACTGATCTGTAGTGTAGTGTAGTCTGTAGATCTACAGACTACAGAATACTGAGATAGTGCAACTAGTGACTGAGTGACACAGATTCGTAGAGTGTAGAATAAAATAGTACACTACAACAAAGTACAATGTCATGTCACTGAGTTTCTACAGACTCGTGACGAGTGACGTGTCTGTGACTCTGTGACCACTCTGACCAGTGCACTAGTAGTGGTGACGACATCACGTGGTACCGGTAGCTCAACCTCAAGTGATGAGATGCGGAGTAGTACTAGTCTAGTGGCCATGACGGACGAGACACCATAGCATAGGCCATAGGCCATGTTCACTGGCAGTCTGGCAGATAGTAATAATAATTACTATTAGTACCACATCAGTACCTTGAGAACGGGTTTATTCACAACACCAATTGGGCCAATCGCGTGAAACCATGAAGTAAGAGTCAAAGCAAAACGACAACCTCAATTCGGAAATAAATAGAACACTCAATCGAAATGTAAGATTGAACACAAAAGCTTCACAAGAAATCGTGACCTACATTGCCTACCTGCATGCAAAGGTGAAGACAAGCCTGGAGTCTGCCAAAAACCTACGTGCTACAATTATAGGCGTGGTAGACCACAGAAACACCCACGGGCGAATGTGCCTCAGTCACCATGGTCACACATGGAAGCCTAGACTAGTTCCTACACTAGCTACAGCAGTCATGCCCTCCCTGTCACAGTGTCAGTGACAGCAGCACCCCAGCGCCCATTGCGGCCATCAGTAACTCGATATCGATGCCGACTCGAATCAAATGGCCAAAGGAAAGGGAGGAAGACCAAGAAAGAGCACTAAAACTGATCGAAAACATACAGACTGAGAGGAGGCAGCACCACCGGCAACACGACCCAGGGGAACTACGGCAGTATTTTTAACAGCACGGTCACCGGAAGAAACAAGTACTATCATGAGATGGGTCAGCCTGTAAGGAAACGGAGTGTGGTCAGCCGGACAACGAGGACAAGGGAGGACGTTGATGGTGATATCATGGTAAGAGTGGTACGGACGATGAAGAGGATCGGCTGATCCGGGCAAGGACAAGGGAATACTTGCCACAATGCGGTGCAGGTTATCGTTCGCATTGCTGAGAGCAGCGTATATGAGCCTGCGAGGATCACGTGGCTGATTCAGCCCCAGTACTAGTAACAGAGAGAACGGTGAAACTGCAACCCTGGTGGCTGCGAAGCGCGTATCCAAGCTTGAGTTGTTTCGGTCGGTTGCTCTCTTGGCTTTACTTCAAGTAGAATTTTCATGCTAGGGTGCTGTGGAGTCCCCCCCCCCCAAATGTTACGAGTTATGACTAACTGTCCACCAACGTAACCAGATCTTCTTTTCACAATTATTTAATTGGCTCACCATCCGAGTTACATTTTGCACACCTGATGAGCCGTCATGACCTAGACGGCGAAACGTACGTCGTGTGGAACTACAGTGTACTTGTTATTGTACATAACTAGTCCATCATACATGATAGTGGAGTTCAGTAGGATGTTGACGTTTCGGTTTGTCACAATTCGTCTTCGCTTAGCTACCCCTTTCTATGTTTATTACATAAACTTGAGCCTCCCAAGTTGGGTGGTCTGTTGCTTTGCGTCGTCGAGTTGTAGGAAGACCGGTATGTCCAATAGTCTTACTGGTTTCGTCATCATCCATTAACTTTCGGCATTCTTTGTTGCCGTGATTGAGCCGTGATTGAAGTTCTTTTTTCCTTCTTTTTCTTTCTTTTTCTTCATACAATTACTCTCTTCATTTGTATTAACATCCTTCATCTTGGCAAATTGTCTTTTGTTGCCCGTAAAAGAGGCTTTTGGATCTTTGTTGCCGTGATGCGTAGCTCGTGCTCTTCTTCGTTGCGCTTTCCTTCCCCTCTTGGACCTTTCCGAACCTGAGCCTTCCAAGTTGGAAGGTTGTTGGTTTGTGCCTTGGAGAAGTGTTGGAGCTAGGTGTCAGGTCGCCGAATGTCTCAGTACTCCTTGTCAGTTTTGTGCCATTTTGTCGCACTCGCTGACTGTATAAGATCTGGTTACGTTGGTGGACAGTTAGTCATAACTCGTAACATTTTGTCCTTCTTCCTTTCACAATTATTACATTTTTCGAACTGATTCTCACTCTGTAGAAAATTGTGTTCTGTTGCCCGTACAAGACTCCGATATATGATTGTGTTGAGTTGAGGCAAGGACAAGGAGGTGGGTGAAGAGAGTGACGCGAACAGTGATGATGGTGGGGACGGTGATTGCGATGATGAGAAGTGGAATCAGCGTTGTCGTGAGTTGTATGATAATTCCTGGTTGTTGTTGTTTTCTTTATTTGAATTCGCTAAAACCAAACGGATAGAACTGTCCAGTGACAAGGGAGCGAATGATGAGCGTCATAATCACTATGCATCAAAACATCTCAGGGCAAAATGAGACAGACTGTATTAAAGGAGGGTTTGCACAACACTTGTACATAAAGGGGAGTATCAGAACAAAGGCGCGGCAGAAGTCGAAGCAAGAAAGCAATCAACGCCAGAGATGTTTTTGTCCACCAAAGAGAGAGAGAGAGAGAGAGAGAGAGAGAGAGAGAGAGAGAGAGAGAGAGAGAGAGAGAGAGAGAGAGAGAGAGAGAGAGAGAGAGAGAGAGAGAGAGAGAGAGAGAGAGAGCGAGAGAGAGAGAGCGAGAGAGAGAGAGAGAGAGAGAGAGAGAGAGAGAGAGAGAGAGAGAGAGAGAGAGAGAGAGAGAGAGAGAGAGAGAGAGAGAGAGAGAGAGAGAGAGAGAGAGAGAGAGAGAGAGAGAGAGAGAGAGAGAGAGAGAGAGAGGGAGAGAGAGAGAGAGAGGAGAGAGAGAGAGAGAGAGAGAGAGAGAGAGAGAGAGAGAAGAGAGAGAGACAGAGAGAGAGACAGAGAGAGACAGAGACAGAGACAGAGAGACAGAGAGAGAGAGAGACAGAGACAGAGACAGAGAGACAGAGAGACAGAGACGGAGAGACAGAGAGGGTTCAGTATGTCTTGCTCGCAACGTTCAGAAATTGAAATTGAAACTGTTTTCAACTTTTCATTCATGAACGCCAGTCTGACCTCTGCATTCAGAAGGAATCAGTCACAACACTCACACTACTTGACTGTATTTCCGTAACTTCGCACAGTTTATTCCTACATGTATGTTTAGTCCATGTTTTTCTTTCTTCAATTTTTTGCCATCCCTACACCGCATTATCTTACTAGTTTACATTGTATATTTAGCATTGTTTCACCTAGGCTAAGAACTCGCATTGTTTCACCTAGGCTAAGAACTCGCATTGTTTTACCTAGGCTAAGAACTCGCATTGTTTCACCTAGGCTAAGAACTCGCATGTTGAGCCAATAGTACTATGTAAAGAGAAAAAGAACCTATACCGGTAATTATTAAAAAGTTACTAGTTATGACTAATAGTCCACCATGGTAACGAGATTATGTATCTAATATTGACTGAGTACGAGGTCAATATAGGAAATAAAAGCCGAGTAAAAGACCTCGGCTTCGCCTCGGTCTTTTACGAGGTTTTATTTCCTATTGACCTCGTACTTAGTCAATATTACATGTAGATTTATCACGACAAACAGTCCGGATTTCAAATTCCAGAACGATAACCTCATGAATCCCGGTTTTATGATTGCACAACCGTTGCACCACCACCTACTCATGCAGTGACAAAGCTGCACTAGGCACCGTTCAACTGCGCAACCCCTAAGCAGTCAAATATAACTTATAAGCAATCCATATAGCCCTAAGGAGTGAAATATGCAGGAATATTTGACTGCTTAGGTATAGCGAAAATCAATGGGAGTCAATACTAAGGGAGTGATAAACAGTCAGATAGTGCGACAAGGCACAAAAACTGACAGCCGGATATTGAGACATTCGACCACCTGACACCTACACGTAGCTCCAACACATCTGCGAAGCGCAAACCAACGACCAAACCAACGACCAAACCAACGACCAAACCAACGACCAAACCAACGACCTTCCAACTATTACTTGGAAGGCTCGGGTGCGGAACTTCCGTCTCTGCATTTAATTAACATGTTCCCCTTCTCTATTGTGATGTATTTTCCAACTGGTGATCGTCACACAAAAAAACGTTCTTGAAAACCTTTGGCTTTAGTTAGACGTACATGTACATGTACCTACATGGTGTTAGGTAAAAGAGAAGGAAGAAGAAGAATTCAGAACAGAAGCGGCTACACATTTTACGAGGACCGAGTATCAAGAAGACATCCAGGAGCGAACAACGAACACACGACTGACGGTACATAACAACAACAAGAAGGTCAGAACCGGGTCTAACATCCATACGGTGTTCAGATCGGGTCGTAAAGATCCGGGCTCTACCAACCGTGGATGGTTGTAGTATACTAGTAAGGTCACTGTTTCCGAACACCGGCGGTGGTCTCCGCCTTGCTACATGCTGTCATTGAGTGTCAACCAACAACCTACATGTACCTACATGTAGTTGATGTACCTTGCCTTGTGTGTTTGAAGTATGAGTGTGCAGATCATTTTATTCATAGCGTTATGTTTGTTAGACTCGGGTGGAGAGCAAGGGCAAGGATCATTTATAAGAAGAAAAGAGGACCAAAGAGCTACAACTTACAAGTACTAGTAAGTTAGTTACGCAGGTCTAATATCCACTGACACCACCAGTTACTTTACAATCAGCTCATGCGATAACATTGCACAACACTGACCAACGGTACTAACGTTCTTCACCTCACTGGCAATCAGCTCTAGCACGTCTTGGATGCGCACTCCAACTGCTGTTATTTTTGCCACTGAGCATGATCAGGCGTTCGGTTCTTCACATGTTCGCTTTTTTCTTCTTTTTTCTTTTCGGCCAGTCGGCTGCTATCATTAATTTTCGTCTAGGGGGTTAGACAAGGGGAAGTAGCCAGACATGTATGTATATGTTAGTAGGGGCGTGAGCCCGCCTTTCGGCACCGGGAGTTGCAGCTCGCTCGCATGTTCGCTTAGCTTCCCCTCCAATCGATCTTCGACTTCGAGAGCGACACAAGTAATTAGTTAGTTGTGTGGTATGTTGCTATGCATCCTTGAATAGTGGTTTGACCGTATTGTCTGATGGTCTTGCCAGTATCGTCCTCGACATACATGTACATGTACATCCGCCAACGTCCTTCACAGCTGAGACTTTCAGCTCGTGCTTGTCTTGGTTACGCTCACCTTCCCCTCCTGGCTAAGAACCTTCCAAGCTGGACGGCTGTTGGAGTGTGCATCCAAGACGTGCTAGAGCTGATTACCAGAGCGGTGCAGAACGTCAGTACCGTTGGTCCGTGTCGTGCAATGTTAGGTTTTATTTGTTCTTCATTCTTTTCCTTTTTATGCTTCTTTTTATTTCTCCAACTTTTGCCATGGCATCCTTCCCTCAGCTCGTCATCTAGCTGACAACTAGGCCTGGGCGGATAATGCTAATGCCAAAAAAGTAATGGCAGTGCCAAAAACTATGGGCCAGTACTGGCAGTAGCCTGGCAGTTCTTCGACACCAGGCAGTATCGGGTACTTACCCGTCAATTACTTTGCCGCTTTGATGAGTGGGGAACGTTTATCTTGGCGTTTACTTTATTTTTACTAGTGTGGGTGCAAACCCATTAGTACTGTACTGACTGTACTGTAATCTGTATCAGTGTATGCTGGACCACTGCTTTGATCTACCTATCTACCGTGTACTATAATTACTGCTACAGCTAGCTGTAGCTGTAGCAGTAGTCAAAAAAAGGTTGTGTAAAAAATAAGCGTCAAACGACTTACGTCAGAGCACTGACATCATGACTAGCAAGTAACATGGACACGTGAGTGCACTCAGTCTCATGTCATGCAGTGCACTACATACTAGACTACCACTACGACTACGAGTAGATCTACGAGCGTAGTGCCAGTGCCAGTGGTGACAGACTGTCTGCGTTGATGCTTCGAAGAAACAGTTAGTTCGCTTGGTGCGGGTGTGCTACTGCTAGTGCTAGTGCTAGTGCTACGCTGTACATGCACTACTAGTAGTGTAGTACGGACTCAGTAACTAGCATGCTGGTAGATTTACTACTACTACTACTACTAGTACAGTAGTAGTACTACTACTACTAGTACTACTACTAAACAAGTATCTACGTCACTTAGTTAGTAAGTAGATTCTACGTGCGCCAGCCTAGCGATATCGCATTATCGATCGCGCGAGCCGTCCATCCAACAACGAAAAAGATGCCCTGGACTTGAGAAGTAACGACAAAATCACCATGATCACGCACTCGATCGACTGCCTGGACTTGTACTGTAGTTGTACAGCATAAAAACACAGGTAGGCAGGTGACTGTAGAATTACATGATTGTAGTCGATTCGAAGAAATAGTCAGCTTGTGCTACTGCTCTCGCTCAGATAGAATGTAGACTGGAAAGAAACTGTCTGCTTTACTCGCAAGTTGTCACGGTCTGCCTTGGTGTTTATACAGAGAGCCTAGACCAGGTTCACGTGAATGGCGATATCGTGTTAGCGAATAGGGTGGTGCGCTATCATGGCAAATGATCCTGAAAACAATTTTGTTTTGCCGAGCGTCGTGCCCCGTCCCGAATCGGCAGACAGCGCTATGACGTGTAGTGAGACGAGTCAACCGGCCAGTAATGTTCTCCAGCAAGAGATGTTATTGTCCAACCCAGCTATGCAAGGCTATGGAGCTGAGGGCCCAATAGACATGGCAAGTAACATTATGCCACTCTACGAATTGCCGACTGGGTACGGTGGCGACCCGGCTGGTTCGCTCGGTTTTGCCACTGGCAGTAATATTCACGACTTGGATGTTTTGCAGCGTTCGGCCCTCGAGTCAATCAATTCATTGACTGGCCCTGCCAATTCTCTGGGAATGGAGGATTTTCACCGGTACATTACAGACGTCTGCGTCACACCAGCGTTGCCAGGAGTGATTGGCATGGCAGCAGATCAAGACTGGATAGAAGCAAGGATACAAACGCCCATGAAAGCTGCACCTTTCACCCCCCTTGCTTTCACTCACACTGATGGCGCAACGGAGGAAAGCCTCCTCCAATACTTAGCGACTCCGCAACCATCACAGCGACACCAGATGCACCTTGCTCCATCATCATTGGTGCAAGATCATTCAAGTACGATGGTCAGCGGCGGTGGGCGCACTACCCTAGGATCACATCAAAGCCAGAATCTGGGAGGTTACATGGGTGGTGGGAATGCAGATGGCTATCCCAGAGTGCCATACTTTCTACCAAACAGTGAGTCTGCAATGCCTGGCTCGCAATTTCCCCTGCCAGATGATCAATTAGCAGTGAGCTCAACAGCTACCAACATAGCTTCTTCCAGCAGTGTTGCTGCTGATGCCACCACTAGCCAGCAGCACCACCATCACCACCACCAGCAGCACCATCATCATCAGCAGCAGCAGTACAAAATGCCAGGTAATGTTGGGGGACATCATGCTGCCACAGCCAGCATGGCCAACCTTTCCATGGTGCAAGACGGCGGCTCAGACCAGTTTCCTCCATCTCACGTGAATGTGTATCCGCCTGGTTTGTGCCCCTGGGGGGCACCGTCAGGTAACAGTGGTCAAGCTCCTGGCGGCAATCACGGAGAGGGGATGAATGGAGGTGGTAACTTCGTGAGACTCTCACCGCTTGGTGGGTCGCCACCAGCGCAGGATCGGCCATTTGTCTGTAATCATGATGGCTGCAGTCGCCGCTTTTCACGCAGTGATGAGCTGACTCGCCACACGCGTACGCATACAGGCCAGAAGCCGTTTCAATGTAAGATCTGTATGCGCTTTTTTTCCCGGTCGGACCACCTCACCACGCACATCCGTACCCATACCGGCGAGAAGCCCTTCCAGTGCGTACTGTGCCCAAAAAGGTTTGCCCGGTCTGACGAAAGGCGTCGTCACATGAAGGTTCACAAACGGCCAGAATCGAGAGCAGCATCAGCCTTGCAGCACGGAGACTTTCCAGCTCTTGCCGGTAAGCCTTTGCCTACAAACATGGCGAGCTTGGCATCACTTCCAGCACTGGGCTCAACTGGACAGTTCTCTGCCACGGCTACTGCACCGGCTATTAGTGCAGCCTCTGCTAGATCTTCTAATAGCACTGCTACAGCAACGGGTGCTGCCGCCTCCGCCGTCACACAGCAACACGTATCCATGGCAGGCTCATCCACGGTTAACGTACGGCAGCAGCAGCATCTCCAGCAACAGCAGCCACAGCACCAGCAGCAGCACCAACACCAGCGCCAACAGCATCTGGTCCCAAAACCAGAGCCGGATACTGGCATGAATGGTGAAGCGGAAATGCGTAATTCGTCAGCAGGCACGAAGGGGCCAACAGCATCTGCTATCCTTGGCATGCGCCTACCTCCACAGGCATAGGTAAGTCCTAGGTCGGTGTCATTGAATAGTGAAGTCTAGCTAGCCTGCTACTGCATGGCGCTGGTGTAGCTCCAGGGTTTGGCATAGCATTAACTACTATGCCAGCACCTTGCCATATCCCATGTGCCGATCGAGTCCTTGACTAATCAGACTATGTTTCTTACATGCGTATGACTTTCTTGCATTAACGATGACGTCGTGTGTATATATGTATATAGTAATGCCTATGCCGTTGGCTTGCTGAGAACGTGAAACTACACCCAGCGTAATTATGTCTGCATTGACTTGTGCCTCATAAAGGTTAGTGACCAATGTGACCAATCAGACTATGTCTCTTTCACGCTTTATGACTTTCTTGCATTAACGATGACATCGTGTATATATGTCTATGTCGTTGGCTTGTCAAGAACATGAAACTACACCCAGCATATGTTTCTCTGCATTAACTCGTGCTGCATAAAGATGACAGTATCTGTCATGTTATGTTCTAGTTCACCGGGCTATTCAAAACTCTTCTCATGTCATGTGCCAGCCTTACCAATTACCAGGCTACTCTATAACACGCTGACAGGCATACGGAGTTTAAGCACACCTCTTGCGCCAATAGCGTCCCCTCCTGTCCCAGTTTTGCTTCAACTTTGGCCCAGTACCCAAACCATCTACTCAGTAGTCCTCCAAATACCAAGATGCTATGCGGTGCACTAGCCCACAGGCACGTAGAGCTTGTAGTTAAAAACTTAGAATAGACTAAAAAGCTTTGTACTCTACAGCTTCAGATAATCTGCCATACATCATTGCGTGATACACACTCTTTCGACGGCCATATTGCTATTGCCAATGTGGTGTATACTATATAGCTGTGTGCGTGTGTGCGAAAAGGTGCAAAGATCAAAACAATTTTCCCCACGCCGACAACAAAGTGTGCATATGTGTGTGTGTGTTCACTGTTACTGGTTCACTTTCCGCTTTTTCACTGTCAAGTCACTTATCAGTGAAACGTTTCTTTATACTGAACGTAAAGCTGGATCATGCCGGTACTGGTGATCGTTTCTGCTGCTGTTAACGTTGCTGATATAACTCTGTTTCTGCTGCTGTGCTAATGTTGCTGATATAACTCAATTATTTTGTTTGTTCCCGTTTTGGGCCTTGACTGGTCCCTGTCTCATCCTATCGTATATGTCGCTTTCCTTCCTTCATGTCTTGGCTTGACAATATCCTGTAGTATAAAGAGCCCTTTTGGTCAAAAGTGTTGTCTACAGAGGGACTGTCTTAATTACATGGACCAGGACTGTGTGGAATCATCAGTGCACATGGCACTCCGGTTTTCTGTCCATGAAAGGATTCGTCCATTGTATATTTAGCTTTGCAACACAATACTGGCAATAGGCAATACGACTCTTACGTGGCTGTACAACTGAATTGGTTTCTGTTTGCTGTGGGGGGGGGGGGGGGGGGGGGGCCACCTGCAAAGCATACCTACTTCACACTTTTCACATTTTTTCACATTTTTTCACATACCCACCACACACGACCGACACACTTCCAATCTTATCAACGACTCCACGGATCCACAGCATACGGCCAGTTTTTCACAACCACCCGGCTCTGCTCTACACTTATCATTCATCATTACACCCACTCAATCGCCATGCGGCCCTCTGAAAGCCCCTCACCCCCGCCCCACACCTCCGCCTGCTAAACGACAATCGTCGCCGTAAAATCTGCTGGTACATAATACTGGACTCAGTTCGGCTAACGCCGCTCCTCCGACTCGTTCGTAGGCTGGTGCGCCGATCTCGCCTCCGCCGCCTTTCACCTAGAATGTAAGATACAGTACTGCAGTAGCATCAATCGTATCATACTGAGTATCGATCATACATTATAACACGTACAGTACTATAAACTGACACTGACGATGACGGTATGTGCAGCCGGCTGAACAAGGCCAACGCGATGTCACTGAGTATTTTTGTAGAACAGGGCGAGGGAATTGCGAACGAAGGTACGTACTTATGCGCGCGTGGGGCGAATATTGCGCACGTAGATCTACGTGTACGCATGCTGCACGCTGCTGCCCGCGTGTTGCTTATCTCTTGGTGCATGGTGCGTGTAGTGTGCCACCAACCAGGCAAGACAGGGCCAAACCGCAAAGTGTGCACAGCTAGCTAGAGGCTAGCACAGCAAGCCGCGTGAACGCGTACGCGTGGGGCCGCTGTAACCGCGAAATCCCCGTCGGCGTCACTGCCATCTCAGCCCGTGCAGCTGTATGACACGGAAGACTCAGAAGAGCTCCACAAGCGAAAGACTCTCGTCCTGACCTGGCGTTGCTCCAAAGGTCGGGCAAGCGATGCAACTGCATGCAAGGCCTGCTGGAGCGTCACAGTACTCGTCCCACCACTCGCACAACGCGCGCGCAACGCGCCCGCAACACCATGAACACAGCTAGGCCTGTACTCAGGCTGTAGTACTATAAAGACTATAAGTATAAGGTTGCCTTCGGGTTTCCAGGTCTGCATCCAAGCCACCAAGGCCAAGGCCGGCCATGACCCTCCAACCGCTCGCAGGTCCATTTTATACCCTGCCATCCGACGTGCATGGTATTAAAGTACCAGCAGTTCAAACATGCCTGCCTCCTGTTTTGTCTTGCGAACACCCACTACCATGAATACTGCACACTAGACGTGGTTAGCATTTTTTTAGGAGCTTTGTAATTGTACGCCGCGCGTGAGTCGCTAGCGCAAGTGCAGATCGCCGCTCAAAGTCAAAGACAAAGACCACCCTGGTCTGACCGGTCGACCATAAGCTGTTTCAGCTCGTGCAACGAAACTTGGGGAAAGAACAGACTTCACAAGCGCTGGATGGCACGCTGGGCGTAGAAGGCTGCATCTGTTGGGCGTCCCATCAAGCGCTTGTGAAGTCGGTTCTTTCTTTCCTTGCACCACAGCGCGAGCTGAAACAGGTCACGGTCAGACCTGGTACCTTTGAGCGGTTTGGGCAACGCTCTGACTGAGATGAGGGAGCACAGCGGTGTGCGAGAAACCAGGGAAATTCCAGGAGGCAATGGTCAGTCATTTAGAACTCCATCACAGGGCGTTGCCAAAACCAGCAAGTGTCAACATGCCCCGTTCAAGAGGTTGGGTAGAGATTGGTAAAACATTTGGAGAGATTGTAACCGATGCAGTAGTTGAAAATTTGGAGCATAATTTGGCATCCTTTCGGAGGTGGGAGCATAACTACATGATTGTACCACAGTTCTAGTACGATGCACCTAATCAGTGCTGGCGGTCTGCATGGCAAAGACTAAAGAGTTTGGAGGTCATGCAGATAGTGTTTTCAATGAAAAGCAGGATAGAAATCACGACCATAATTATATTATCGTATGCTCGAACTCGTCTTCTTCAAAGTTCTTTCTCGCACTGATACAGTACATGTAGCAGAAGATGCGAGTGAATCAGCCTTTATCAGGTATCCTGGGGTGGACGAGATACATGTACATGTAGTGACGGGTAATCCGCAAAACTCCGCGTACATGTACAGTCTACTACTATTGATCTACATTACGCATGTTTGACCTCTGGACCTTAGCAGCCATGACTGTGCAGGCTATGGATATTGCTCTAATAATTAAAAAGAAGAGGTATAGTTGATGTTCAGTCATGATGAAAGGAGAGGTGGAGCTATGGGAGAGATGAGCTGATTATTCGCAGGGTGAGGGTGACAACCATTGGACGAGTATGATCATTACGAAGACAGCTGAACACGATATTTTCAAAGGTAACTCAAAGTCAAACTATTAAATTTAGCAATGAATTTGTTTTACAAAAGCAGGCAGCAAATGAATAGAAGAAGTAATGTTTTCTCTTTTCCATGTTGACCTTTAGCATGCATGGACACCTTGGTATGGGCATACTCATGAAACATTTCATTGTACTTATGGCCACTTGACAGTACGAAAAAGGCACAATTTTCTCAACTTTGAGGGCTTCATAAGTACAACAAAGTGAATATGTATCCCCGCGTGCCAAAGCATAATAATTATGAGGATTTTGCGAGCATAATGAGAGAATCCATGAAAGCACAATTCCATGATTTCGCGAGCATAATCCGCAGGAGCCTACCGCTAGACCTTTCCCGCATCTGAGGGCCCATCTCAACTAGACTCGTTCCATGCATTTGATGATGTAATTTGTTGATGTTCACCATGTCAAACGGTAATCGCTTTCATAATACTATTGGGCAGAACTGCCCGTTTGACATGCGATGTAAAATAAATAAACAACAACAACAATAACAACAACAACAACAACAACAACAACAACAACGGCTTTTGTCCCAGGTCACTCCACTAAACCACGGACAATGATGGCATTCCAGGAGCTCTTTGGAGAGATTGCGTTGATCTATTGGCACCATCTCTCACCAAGATTTTCAACACTTCCCTTCAGAGTGGTGTCGTAACTGTCATTCCACCCCAGCCCACGTTAGCCTATGTCCGACCGTTGTGGAACTTCTCTGAGCCTCTCTCTCTCTGTCTGTCTCTCTCTCTCTCTGTCTCTCTGTCTCTCTGTCTCTGTCTCTCTCTGTCTCTCTCTCTGTCTCTCTCTCTCTCTCTCTCTCTCTCTCTCTCTCTCTCTCTCTCTCTCTCTCTCTCTCTCTCTCTCTCTCTCTCTCTCTCTCTGTCTCTCTGTCTCTCTGTCTCTCTCTGTCTCTCTGTCTCTCTGTCTCTCTGTCTCTCTGTCTCTGTCTCTCTGTCTCTCTGTCTCTCTGTCTCTCTGTCTCTCTCTGTCTCTCTGTCTCTCTGTCTCTCTCTGTCTCTCTCTGTCTCCGCGGCTCTCTGTCTCTCTCTGTCTCTCTCTGTCTCTCTCTGTCTCTCTCTGTCTCTCTCTGTCTCTCTCTGTCTCTCTCTGTCTCTCTCTGTCTCTCTCTGTCTCTCTCTGTCTCTCTCTGTCTCTCTCTGTCTGTCTGTCTCTCTCTCTCTCTCTCTCTCTCTCTCTCTGCTGTTGTGATATTGCTGACATAATCCCTTGCAATTCTCTCTTCGTTGTACGCTCCTAGTCATCGAATAACTGTGGGTGTGGGTGTGCTGGTTCCTCGTCTATAATGATGATTTCGAAACGGTTGGATACTGGCTAGGGGCAAGAGTACAATCATAACCCCGAGGTTCTGTTCAGTCGACTCCTGATGTAACGAACACCGTTGTGCAATAGAGTTTCTGCCCCCCCCCCTCCCTCTCTCTCTCATTCCCTCTGTCGCCCGCATGCACTTAGTATAAAAGGAGGCGAAACGGCCTGTTTGTGGTGCGACGTTAAATTACTACAGAAATGCACTCACAAGCAACACTGGCATGTGACCCATGACAATATGAGTGCACTTGGTTTACATGCGGCCCTACCAGGCAGATATACATAATTTTATACGGTTCGTTATAAACGAAAAAGAAGAAGAAGAATTGAAGAAAGATTCATGATTCGCGTTATACGTGGAGTCGATTGTACTCTTGGCAGGGCCAGGGTTAGGGGGATTGAGGTTCTGCCAGGGGGCACACACCTTTTCTGACTGGGGAGTGGGCCCAGGGTACCAACGCAACACCCACCCTGTAGGCGGTAGGTAAGAACTTTGGTGCTGTTCCGCTGTTGGGCCCGCAGTTATGCCCAATGCCCTAGCCGCTAGTTCCAACGAAAAAAGACCATTCCTTGAATTGGGAGGGCTTTCCACGAAGATAGGTTGGTCCATTGGCTCTTTGACTTTGGCATATCGAAACTACTTGGTAGGAGCTTGCGGGTAATCGTTTGCCTTCAACAGTGCAGAAATCTGTTTAACGCCAGCTTGCCGTCCCGTTTCCACCGACGGATTCTTCACAGCTCCGGCAAACTGGTTCTTTGATACTGCACGCTTGGAGGACATTGCCTTGCCAAGTTGGTACTCATAGTCATACTGCTGAGCAGTAAGACAAATCGACTCCACTGTGCCGAGAAGCTAGATGAATAGTTCCGATTCGAGGTGATATTCCGCACTGGTGCTGATTGTGAGGTCGAGGTAGTCACACTGCCGGTAGCGTTGTTGGAGTGACGGTGAACCGGAGGAGTAGTAGGTTATTCATGTGCTCGACAAAAACCCCTGACCACAGGATGAGGATGTCGTCAAAAATGGTCCATGTGTCTACCGACGGCTCTGATTGTCGTGTGACGCTAAAGTGGGTTGTTCCCGCGACGCCGTGAATATGAATTATG